CAGCCGTCCGCAGAACAGGTTACCTATGAGGTGAGAAAGGATTCCAATGACATGATGTTCAACCTAGAGCATCACTTCCTTATCTAAGACCCTGCGTCTCTCACCTTATCTAAGACCCTGCGTCTCTCATAATTTGTATGGCTAGAACAGAACCTTAGACTTTTGAGGAAAAAGTCTTCATAGTAGTTTCAAGATGATGGTCATACCAAGCGTGTATCACTGTGGGTTTGTCAAGGAGCAAGGACTTGAAGACAGGAATATATAAGCACAGTCTCTGGGGTGTCTTAAACCCCCAGAATTGTAAATGACAGAAACCAGTGGTTTTTGTTTAGGTTGGTTTGGTTTGGACTTCTGTCACTTGCAATGACAATTCTGCGTTTGATGCAGAGAGCAATTCTGGTTATCATCATGAGAAGGTCAGTCAGGTCAAGGAAGGTCGTAGGGACAGGAGGTGAAGCACAGGGACAGTTAAAGGACAGAGTCTGGTAGCTGGGGCTTGACCATGCTATCTGCCGGGGGCTGGTCAGTGTCCAGGCTCTCATTTGAGCACTAGTCCTGGCCCCACGGGGAGACACCCCGGGGCTTCTCCATGAGACAAACTTCTACCAAACTTCAGCTGGGCCTTGGGGACAGGGGAGCCAGCCGCTGACTTGGATGGGAGGACAGGAGTGAGTATTCTGCATAACGTTGCACAATAAACTGTCACTCGTGGTCTAGAGACCAGGGCCTTACCCCTGAACTGGCGCTGACCCCCCTCCTTGGCCATGCTGTAGCCAACTTCCCACCTTCTCATTCACGACCCTGGCTGAACCCACTCCTGCGTCCTGGACCCTGCTAGCCCGATCACGATCGTGCCTCCCAGGGCACACCTCCCCTGGGAGTACATGAGACTGCCCCCGTCGGGCGGAGCATGGCCCCCTCTCCAGCTTGTTTGTGGCTGTAGGGCTGGACGTCTGCCATCTGCAGCCTTCTCCCACGGGCCTATCAGCCCACTCTCTATGTTCTGTTCTTCGAGTTTCATCAGGGCCCTGACTTCGGCTATTCGGTGCTTTTGATCCTATGTGCTGCCGTAACGGCACGGATGGAGGCGGTGGGTGGCAGCCCCCCGTGGGTGGCAGCCCCCGAGTGCTCCAGTCCAGGGGACAGTATGAGGGCAGGAAGAGGACACAGCTGGGAAGAGAGCGGGAAACCAGAGTTAAAGGCGATTGAGGAGACTGATTTCACTTTCTCTCCACTTAAAACGAAATCTCTGTTGTGCGTTATCCTATCTCCCACTTCAGTGGGCGGGCTCTCGCCGTGGTTCACTGGTGGTTCGGGACGAGCTGCCATGCTGGTTTCTGCTCTTTGTCATGTGGGCCATCAGGGCTTGCGTCCGAGGAGGTCATCTGAGCTGCAGAAGGCCAGGTTAGGGTGAAACCTTGCCTCGATTCCCAAACTCTTCTATTTTCTCCCCAGATAGCCACATGCTCACCGGACTTGCTCCGGATTTGACCAGAGCATCCCCTGGTCAGTGGAGCCTTCTCTGACTGACCCACCCATCTCGGTTTTATGTTTCTGTCAATCATCCATCACCATCTGACATAGTGTATGTCTGACTTGCCTGTGAATGTTCCGTCTCTCTCCAGGTAACCTTATGCCTCACCAGGGTGTGGGATTTTGTTTCATTTACTTCTGGTCCCCACCTGGGACTGTGCCTGGCGCACAGTAGGTGCTCAACAGATACTGGCTAGGGAATGAATGAATGACAAAAAATAAATTGATATTCCTACTACATAACATCCCCCCTCCCCCCAAAGGAGAGAAATTTAGTTAATAGCGCTACTCTGTGTAGGCAGTTTTAAAGACACATTTCCCCCACGCATTTGTATGAATCATGGTTTCATCTTACATGTTTCAAGACATTTAAATATTGAAAACAAGCCAAGATGATCATTTTTTTAAACAGATAGATACAAACATGTTTTTAAACACTGAAGCCAGATGACAAATTTTCATTCCTGTTACTGTCTGCTATGCAATCTTTAGATTATAGATAATGTAGTAATTTGAAGCCAAGACAGGCTTTACTTTAAGAAATGTGTGACCTTATCCACATAATGCCAAATGGACGTGTTCTGGGACAATTCCAGTGACATTCAGCAGCCTCTGACCCACGTTAACAAAGTGTGATCACCTGTCTGAGATACTCACCGTTTTTCTGATAAAACCTTAGTGATACAGATGCCAAGGCACTGAGCAAAGGAAGGGCAGCCTCAAAAGGGGAAATGCCATCAAAAGGTCATTTTAATCAATGGAGACATGACACTTTACTTTGTTACATTAACATTAGTTTAGGGATGTATTTCATCAACAATTTACCTATAAACAAATTAAATCAATTTGAGATTTTCAAATATGATTTTGTAAAATGTATCCTAGAGACTTTTTTCTTTCACAAAAGAAGGATGTCAGTTTACCCTGGAAGGATTCATTTTTGATAACTTCAGGTTGATACTGAGACCCTCGGCAGCTGAGATGGCTGAATGGAGGTGGAGGTTTACTAGTGATGAGGAGGACCCCAGAGGAGCGGGCGGCAGATAAACCTGAAGGCACGTCCACAGAAACCTGCCTCCTTTCGGCTGTCACGTCTGTTGCTGATTCTGTCCAGCAGCCTGGGGACTCCTGAGAATTCAGAGTCCCCAGGTGTGTGAGGCAGAGCCCTCCTTCCCTAGTTCACTGCCTTTGTCCCAGCCCTGGCCAGGCCTCCTAACACCTTCTCCTCCCCTAACTCGCCAGATCATAGCCTTCCAGATGCAAGCACTGTATGCACACACAACCACACACACACCCGTGCATGTCACATCATATCTTACGCTTATACTGGATATATACATTTTATTCTACACTTACACATGGTGCTTGCATGACCATCAGTGCCAATACACTAATTTATACGCCCTAAGACCAATATTGGCAGAAGCTGAAAAACGAAATATCCAGTCAACACATATTATAATTTTATTCGTTAACCATACCTCAACAAAGCTGAAAAATAAACTAAAATACATATTTTTTTTTCAGATCAAAAAATAAGTCATTCAGTCAACACAGGATTTTAAATGATGTACAACTTGCTGGTGCCAAACTGAAACGATATTCCTGTATGCTAGGACACAAAAATCAGTAATAGGCTATCATTTACTTGAGAATATTATTTGTTGAATTTTTTTTCCTGGAGGGTTTTTCCTTTCTCTTATTAATTTGTTTAATGGAATTTTTCCCCTTCATTTCCTTTGACTGCTTCTTCGGCCTCCTGAGAATTGTAGAAATTGATGTTTTACTCAATCCACTTATATAAGTATATTAGGATTCTTTGGCGTATAGTTTGTGAGAACAGACAGCCTCAGGGGGATGTTTACATGAGGGTTTGTGTTTCTAAGGCCATATTCAGGGCGAGTCCGAAGCTCAGACCCGGGCGCACACCTCCCCATGTCCTTGGTACGGTGCTGTGAGGATCAGACCCGGAAGGACCCCCTTACCTGCAAAGGGACTGTCCACACATATTCTCATATCCAACTAGCGGGCTCATTTCTCCTGTCAAGGTTTTATAAAATTGCCTGCATTTTAATTGCCCAAATTAAAGGGTTAGAAAAGCAGTCATATTAAAGAGTTTCCCACAAAATTATCATCTAGTCTTAACTTTTTCATTTATCAGAATGGGAGTTTGGCAGCCTTGTCCAAGTCTACAAAGTTCTAGAACTGTCCCTGATACATCACCTAGTTTATATGTAGCTGAAGTGGACTGTGTGTGTTCATTTCTGTCATCTAAATGCCTTCTTTCTGTTACTTTGAAAATCTTTATAAACTCTTTTGAGTGTTTTGCACACGGTGGCCAATTTCGAAAGACCTTTTTGTTTAAAACTCCATTTTTAGAGGGAGCATAAATGAAATAGCTATCAAAATTCTCTAGGTGTCTGCAAAGGGCTGAATTCTGAGAGTTAAGTGATTACTTCATCCAGAAAACGCTGCTATGTGATGTGGATGAAATGAAATGAAAGCAATCTTTATACAGTGAGAAACATCTAGCCCCAAAGAAGTCTTATACATGCTTACTAGTTAAGTCAACTATGACTCATGCCCCATGTTAGTGAAGTATTCCTCCTCAGCTTTCAGTAACCATGAAGGTAGTTTTCATAAAAGTAGTTTTTACCCTACCCATAGTGATAGCTAGAAAAGGTGCACTCCTACACAGGCCAGTGGTGGGGTCAGCGAGGAGGAGGTTACGATCTGTGTGGGAAGCTGTAGGTTGCTGGGACGCTTCGTCGTCCAAAGTGGGGCTGCCACACTTCTAACTTTAGTAGTCACCCGTCATCAGCTACTTCTTAGTTGCTTCGTTGGTCTGTTTCTCTCTCTCTCTCTCTCTCTCTTCCACCCCTTCCTCCCTCCCTCTCTCAAATCCAACACAGATGTTCAAAAAACAGCTTTCAGTTCTTATTAAATGACACTTGAGTTTGTATCAATTTGCATCAGCAAATGGAATAAATTATTAAGATCTTATTCTCACACATTTTATCATTCAAGCCATGTGTTTCTGTAAATATCCCATTGAGTTGTTCCATTTTAAAATAAAGATGCTATGTCATTCAATATACTCAAGTCAGCATTTCATTGGAAACTCTTCCAGGCCTTGGGTCATATTGTTCTTAGTTTTCCTCAAAGGAATAATTTCTATCTTTGCCTCATTCAATTTAAGATTGTGGCTCAAAATCACCTCAGTAGAGGATGCTCTCCCCCCCAGAAGCACTTAAGAAACAGGAATTGATACTTGAATTTCTTTCTTTCTCTTAAAACTGAGTGAATTAGCTTTTAAATCTTTATTAAATTTTTTTAAATTAGTTTTTAGGCTAAACACCAATCTCAGACTTCCATATTACACATTTTGTGTTAATGTGTTTATATGTGTATCTGTGTGTTTACATACGGCAGCTGCACATCGCATTTTCACAAGCTTTCTGTTACTTTTCCGATCCCACCACCACCTGAAAAGGTGTCTCACGGGAAGTGCTCATCTGAAATCCGGCAGATCCGCAGCTCCCCTAAAGAGCTCTGACACGACATAAAACCATGCCTTTCTGTCACTTGGGAGCTCTGTTGTTTCCCATTCACACAGCCAGTTACACTGAGTGCAACGCTTCCTTCTCGGTCTCAACTGCCTGTCACCGCAATGCACGGAGGTGCTTCCTCTTTCTTCATAATTTTGGTACAAGCATCTTTGGCCTAATTTTCAGAAATTAGCTCCTCTCAAATGATCACCCGTTATTTCTGACAGCCCAAGGGAAGCACATCACATAGATTTTTCCAGGATAAAGAGCTCAGGTTTCCAGCTTCCGGCGGACTTGTCCTGCAGTCACTCAGGTGTGGCTCAGGAGTCTGTGGTCCTCTGAGAACGCCAGCCTCCCGGGGGGACGCCTGATGCTCCCTCCTTGGGGACTGTCACTGTTCTACCTAATTGCCACAGCACAGCTAAGACCAGGATGTAGTTTTATCAGGAAATGTCCTGAAGAAATCAGATTCCTACTACTACTAGAGACCCAAGGATGCTTTTCTAACTCTGGGTCACCTGCAGTCGGCAACTCACAGGACACTTGAGACTTCCACACCTCAGGGTCCAGGCTGCATTCTCCTCTGCCCAAGCTGACTGGCAGATCGCCTGCCATGTTCTAGCTACTTTTTATGCACCCTCCTCAATCCTCACAGCAACTCTGTGACAATGACAATGATAGCAATAACAATGACCATAATAATCCTCTTTACAGATGAGGAAACTAAGGCCCAAAGAAGCTGAAAATGATCTTGTTCAAGATCACCAAGCCAGGATTTGAAAGCAAGACGTATGTGTCTGACCCCTCTCTCCAGGAATCTAGAGGTGACCAAAACCCTAGTAGCGTTCAGAACACAACCTCAAACACATGATTCACTGAAAGTCGGACAGATTTTCGGGTGAAGGACGTGAGCAGCACTTTCCATGAGGGAGGAGCCAGGAGGGGGGAGCAGCAGTGCGTATTCTCGGGGGGCTGGGAGGACGGCTGGCTGAAACAGCACCTGCTATCGGGGCCTCAGTCTTCAGCAGGGTTACAGTTTACGCACTCCGAGTCCAGGGGACAACACGTTCCTCCAGCTACACAGCTGGCACAGCAGCCTCACCTCCTGGTGGAATCCCAGCAGATCCCAGTATGGCGCCCCCAGTGTCATGTGCGGGAGGCAGGAAAGGAGAGGCAGTGTTACTTCTGTTCTCCGTTAGAAGGGTTCCTTCCTGTGCCAAAGAAAGTCCAATCTTGCAGGCAGGCATCGGCTAAGCCATGGTTCACCGGATAGCTTGGACTATGAAGGTGAATATACATAGCGTTATATATAGAAATAAACTGTAACTTCTAACTTCCTATACGCATACATAGAATACATGATGGTTGTATATACACGTACAGCTATATACAATTATTCCACTGCATACACAGCAGCTTTGTGTAACTCTTCAACTATATAAACAGTGGCATCTGAAGTTAGACGTGACAGTGCAGTTTTGAAGATATGCAGAGAGTGATCTGGACACTACAGAGCCAAACCAGAACCTGGGGACCCAAAGGCCAAGGCTAACACTGTGCTGATCTCCGTAAGAGGACGCTCGCCACTGGAGAGAACAGAGGCCAGAGGGGAAGGAGAAACAGTGGGTCTACACCTGGTGGGCCGTCAGCAGTCAAGCAGTAAGGTCAGGGCGAGTCACTCATCAGTGAGACAAGCATGATGCAAGTTCTACTTCTTACAGATGGCAATTTGCAGTCACTCCCACCTGACATAACTGAACACACTGCAGATGCTATAATTCTGTGCAGTGTCACATAGATTTTACAAGTACTCAAGAAATATGGCAGTTTTAATGGTCCATTACTTCATTTTATCTGCTCTCTCAAATTATGTGATGCAACGGCTTTATCGTCAAGTCACTGCACTTTTACCTTCAAGATTCTGCAGACTCGAACCAGGAATTCTAGCGACAACGATTCCTGTAGGCTTAATGATGTGTGCGCTGAGGTTGAAGTCTGAGTGGAGAAAATAGAATGGCTTTGGGAGATTTTACTGCAGAAATCTGTAGGCTCACACCACCTTTACTCTCTTTAACATGATTAATACAGGACGAAGCACACTTCTTTCCCAGTCAGGGTATAAGCATGATTACTAAAGATGCACAAATGTTCCTAGACAACACATTTTAGCTCTACCCTCGAAGTATAGCTGAACGACTTCATAATCCTAAATGCTCGAGCCAGCAGCCAGAGAATGCCTGAGACACACGGGACTTCCCTGGCTGCACGCACATCGCCGGCCAAGCGCCCTCCTGTCTACAGAACAACATCTATTTAATAACATAGCATCTGCTTTACCTGAAACAACCTGCCCCAGAAGTTACGTTGTCCTGAACTTTCTGGACTCTGACCCAATACAATTCAGTGCTTTTGTTGGATTGTACAGTGTGCAGCATCTCAAGTCCCCCTCCCGTTGGTCATCATGACTAACCAATGGCAAATGGGTGGAATACTCACTGAGGGAATTGCGCCAGGTCACACACGGACTATGATTCTCAGTCCGCTGCCTTCCCTTACAAGAAACAATTTCCAATAAGTACACAATTATTTCACTGACCCTTCCAAATCTTCTCAAGTCCACTTCACTGTAACCGCCACAGCCATGTGGACTTTGATTCCTCTTCTTTCTGGTCAGCTTGGTTTTGCTGTCTGCCTACAACCTCCCAACAAGCAAGGAGTTGGGAGGATGTTCAGACCAGGCAGAGACCTTCGGTCTCCGCCACGCCAACCCCATACCTGTGATGGTGGAGACGGGAAGAAAGGCCCCAGGAGGCGGACGGCTGCCCTCAGGCCTTTGGCCTTTTCCACCTTCTGCTGCTCAGGCCCAGCACGCCCAAGCCTCCCGTTCCTGCCCACCTGGGGCGCTCCTGACAGCGGGGCAGGGACATACCATGCGCATCTGTACAACCCCCCACTCACACACACACACCCCTTTCAGGAAGGAGAGAACCAAGTAAGACATTCTAGCGTCTCACCTCAAGGGCTCTGGGCACAATCGCTTTTCTTACGCCTGATCTTCATGGCTGACTCCCAGATGTGGTAACTGCCTCTGACCCAGCAACCTGTCTGAATACCTTGGCCTGTGTACTCTTAATTCTCGTTCCTGAATTTCTCTGGTAACCTGCTGTCTGGATTCATTGTTTTGACCAAGTTTTCTGTACTGACTGGCAAGTCCAACCTCCTGGCCTCACACAGAAAGCACCGTGATGCCCACAGTTTACCCAGATGGCACTCGAGGCGCCCCGTCAGCTGCAGCTGAACTTGTGCTGAGACGTTTCCCATTGAGGGTCAAGTGACTACTAGAACAGCAGTTACTTTCTGATTTCCACTTGTTTTGGAACTAATTGCCAACTTGAGGAAGTTACATATATTTATAAAAAGTTATCTTCTAATTGTAAACTGTGCTTGCACAAAGCCTCACCTTGCTGTGTGTTTCTCCATCCAAACCCCCAGGCTGGTTCATTCTTCAGGGATGAGCCCGGCGCTATGTTCAGAGGAGAGTGTAGACAGGACCCCAGGGGAAGGCGAGAGTGGTTCTCACACTCCGAGGCGCCTTGACTGCCACGTATCACCCCCAGAAGGACTTCCTTAGGTTTTTCTTTGGAAGGCTTTTCAGAGGTCTCCTAGTTAAAAACAAAAAGAAAGAAAGAAAGCAAGAAAGCAAGCAATCTAAGTTGCAAGAGAGCCCAGCTTTCCCAGAAGCGCGCCGTGGGTGTCTTAGTGGGTGAGGACGGGAGAGCAGCAGCTGCTGGGCACTCTGGCTGCATGTGGAGGGCAGGGACAGGCAGCGAAGCATGGGTCTGGGGGAGATGGGGCTGAGGAGCCTGGCTGGGCAGGGCGTCTGCTACAATCTTGAACAGCGGCTCCAGAATGAGATGTGAAGACTCCAGAGCTGCTGGAGGGATTACAGAGCAAACGATTGGGGTTTGTTTGTGTTGTTCCGTTTATTTTCTCAGAAGCGGGGCTGTGGGCTGTGAATTGGTTACCCTTTAATGTTTTCCAAAAGACAAAAATAAAACTAGAATTAAATTTGTCAACGGAAGGTCACGGCCACCAATCCAGTGCCACCAGGAGTCCCCCATCTGGGGTGTGAAAGAAGAAATTGTTCTGATGAACCGTCTGCCAAGTGGGGACACGCCGCCTCCAGAGGAAACTGGAGACATAGGAGAGGCCTGCTTATATAGAAAAAGGGGGCCGTGGGATTTGGGCTTATTTGTGTAGCAGTCACAGTGACCACTGCCTGGGACAGTCTGGGAAGCATGTGTTTCTGAGATTCAAATATGGGTCTGAACCGAGCTGTGCTACCTGCTGGCTGAGATACTAGCTTAGACGGGTTGGTACTTCCGATCTTGGCAGGGCTGACAGCAGACCTTCACACCTGCTCTTGTTCAGGGCTCCCTCTCACTGGCTGATGCCTGCGTTGAACCAGTTGTCAAATATTTTGAATATCACCTCTGCCTCTCCAAGCCCCATTTTCCTCTTGGGTAACGGGGTTAGTGATACCTTATTTGCTAGTTACTGTGAAGACTAAATGAGCTACTGCAGTGCTTCTCAAACTTTCATGCTCATTTAATGCAATTCCCTCTCATATCTGGAGACCTTGGCAGATTTTGATTCAGTAAGTCTGGGGTAGGACCGGAGATTCTGCCTTTCTACCAATCTTCCTGCTTGTCCAATGACCTCACTTTAAGTAGCGAGGAGATGATGTTTGTGAAGTATCTGGTACATAACAGGTAATCAGAAATTACGGCTAGTCATTATTCCCAGTCATCATTATCATAAAACTCATATATGTGAATCGCTTCCATTTATGGTTCATTATCTATGCAACACAACAATAATATGTTATTATATTATCCAAGCTAACTTTTATTATAAACTTGGCTTCATTTCAGCAATGGGCTCTGTCCATGTGTGTTTATATTAGATAACTCATTTATTCACAATTTAGAACCAGAGAGAATGACCATGAAAGCCTCTTGAATTTACGACATTACTTTTTATTCTTTCTCTCCATTTTAGTAGGTAGAGATTATAACTTATTGGACTGCAAGAAGTATTCTTAGTTTCACCCAGTCAGAAATATTATTGCCAGTAGTAATACTTGTTAGCTTCATCCAGTAACAAAACATTATGCCTAATAATGATACTAATTATTAGTGAAGAAAACAATTGGAGGAACATACACCAAGTTATCTGAAAATGGTGTTGTCTTTGGAAATCACAGCCTAATATCAGTAGTTGCTTCTCCATTTTTCCCTTTCCCTATAATATACTTTTATACTCTTAAACTTTACATAATTCCTATGTTTGACATTTGTAATTGAAAAAAATTAAAGGAAAACTAATTATTATTTTGGGTCCTTGGCTACTCTTGCCTCTTTGTAAAATGGAGTTACTTTTCTTAAGAGTGAAGCAGTTCTGTGAAAAGTTTCTACAGACTATGGAAGGAAGAACATGGTGAGGAGAGTTTTTCCTAAGGCCTAGTGAGTCCTTGGCAGTGAATCAGGCATTCAAGGACATAACTGTTGAATGGTGCTGGGTGTCCAACTCTTTGATACTTTGGTTTAAGAGCTGAAAGAGGTGCTACTCAGAGTAGACACACTGTAGAACTTGTGAGATATTTTTTCTTAACCATACAAGGGATCTTAAAAACCATAAAAACAACCAACATGGAAATTTGCTATTTGGGGTGAGACCAAGTTCTAGATTCTTTGGCCTGCACAGGACTTTTAGGCACGATCTGTCCCAATCTCATGTTTTGGGTAAAGGGATGTAGTGAGGCTGTCAGAATGAGCACCACTGCAGGATCATGCATTGGGTTAAATTATACTTCTGTAAATGGATCTCTGCTTTTTCCTTTTTGGTGTATAAAATAATTTCCAATCCAAGCTTTAAAATGATTGTGTGAGTTTCAAAGTGCTGGAGGTAAAGTTTTAACATTTGTTATGTAATCTTCGGCATCCTTTGGGATGAAATAGTCAGGGCCCCTCCCAAACTTGAGCCCAGTAAATGACTTTTCCTTAAAATATCCATAAAGCCAATCACTTTAGGAACTGTCTTTACGGCTTAAAAGTTCCTGTCTATTCCCGAGTGCATGGACCCCACAGTGGTATAGATTTGGAGCTGAGATCTGAGGATCACAGGAAGACAGTTGCCTGGAGTAAGGCTCAGGGAGGGTGGAAATCATAGCTTGAGGTCCGAAGTAACTTTTCTGTCTTAGATTTTCAATGGAAGATAAGAATCTGCGACAAAAAAACATATCCCTGCAAATAAGCTGCATAGGCCTTCCTGAACTCAATTTTCTCATGGATGGAGAACGTGCAAATAACTCAGCGTTGCTCTTAGACCATTGGCTCCAAAATGCCTGACTTCTAAGTTAACGCTCTTTGGGTGGTAATTCCCGTGAGAGAGAAATGATCAAAAGCAAATTTAATGTAGGAAACAGGTATGGTTCCTGAATTTGGATGAGAACATATATTCATGTGCTGAAAACAGTAAGGATAAGGGTAAAAGTCAACGGGGCTGAGTGTCAGAGCGCCCCCCTGGGACATCTCTGCTCTGTCAACATCTGGGCTGCCTTTTGAAGGTCACCGCATCCTTGGGCCTGGCCTACAGACATAACTGGACTTTGGTCCCAAACAGCTGCATTTCAGATTTATTGACATCCGTGATTCAGACCCATCCTTTCATCCTCTTTAGAAAGATTTATGGTCCTTCTCTCTCCCAATTGTTTGCCTGATATATCCTCATTCTGGCAGAATTTTTCAAAGGTCTGCTGTAGTCCTTAGGAAAAAGCAGAACTGTGTGATATTTTAATGGAAGCCCTTTGTAATCCGTGCTGGGGTTAAAAAAAAAAATAGGTGTGCTTGTCACACATAGTAATGAGGGAGAACTCAGCAAAAATGCATAGAACTATCTAATTCCTTAAAACAATAGTTCTATTAGGAAAACAAATGGACAAAACCATCAAACATAGCCATTATATCATGAGTATAACTGCTCCCAGAGTTTTATGAATGGGTCTTCAATTTTGCAAAATGCTGACAAATTGTCCATTCTCTAATTGTCCAATTTCATCCAGACACAATTTCATCAAATAGTGAAGTCACTGGGCTCCTGGTTGATATGGGAGTTTGAATCTGAGAGGGAAAGCAAATGCCCTTTTTTTATGAAGTAGAAAGCCCAAATTACACGAAGGTTTGCTCCTGTAAACAGGGCTAGGAGACAGCAGGGCACAATTAGTAATGTTCCCCTTCTACTTAACATCCACCCAGCTGAGGTCCCTGGCATGACCTTCTCTGCTTCTCTGTCCTCCTAAGTCAGTGGTTCTCAACCTGTGGGTAGCAACCCCTTTGGGGGGTCGAACGACCCTTTCACAGGGGTCGCCTAAGACCACCGGAAAACAAAAAGATATTTACATTACGATTCATAACAGTAGCAAAATTACAGTTATAGAGTAACAACGAAAATAATTTTATGGTTGGGGGTCACCACAACATGAGGAACTGTATTAAGGGGTCGCGGCATTAGGAAGGTTGAGAACCGCTGTCTTAGGTGATATCACAGGTGATGTTCTCAATTGTAATGGAAATACACTGTCTGGTTTCAATGTCTCGTGGAAACAATAAGGACTGAAGTTTGGCAAGAGGCCACGGCCTTCGTCTTGAAGGACTCTGGAGGGCCACCGAATGTCCCCAATCCTCAGAAAGCTCTCCCCTCACAGAGAGAATCTAACTTGAACAACTCCTGAGGAAACTATACTTGACTGCGACAAACGCTGCCAGGCTGGCTTTCCCATGTTGCCTAGAAAACCTTATGGTGGCCATGTCCCTCACCTGTGGTATCGCCATGATCACTCCCATCTGACCTCCTGTGTTGCCCATGGTTTGGAATCTGGGGTGTTGGGAGACCGAGAGGGAAAGGAGCCTGAGTCTGTGGCAGAGACGGGGGTGCGAGCCTGGAACGTGCCTGGAAGCTCTTTCCTGTCTCCCCCAAGAAGACCTGGACGCCTGCGCAGGAGGCGCAGCCGAGGCCCGTGGGAGCGCGTTCCTGAGTGACAGGTCAGCTCACCTTAGAGACGGGTGGATCCGCCCCTTCCCAGGCCTAAAGCTTGGACAGCTCCTTACGTGGCCTCTTTAACACTCTTAGTATTACTTCTGAATGAAAAGAAACATTGACTATGAGTTTTTCACAAAGTCAACTCTCAACGGCCTTGTCTTACTTTGCCTGTCTCCTTTCCTCCTCCTTCCCTCAGACACTTGTACCTGCAAGCCCTGTGAAATTCATTTTGGATCCGTCCCGTTAGGCACTAGTCTTTAAGGTTTATTAAAAAGCTTTCAACTCATTTCCTTACCTTTTCCCTGAAGGTACATCACTAAACAAAATGCTCTTTGTGAACAGTAAAAATCGTTTGGTTGGCAGACAGCCAGTGGCTCACAGCTGATGGCAAGTGGCTTCAGTGTATATTAGAAGCAACAGAGTGCTTTATGGAACAGTTTCCTGATGCTGTTCTGGGGGAGGGGGGG